TACCTCTCCTTCTTTTTCACATAATAGAACCGATGCTCCCCACGGGGTATAGCTCGGTCTAAGGAAACCACTATCCAATAGCTCTTGCAATTGGGTTTTCAACTCATTAAGTTCTGCAGGTGCCATTTGGTATGGGGGTATAGAGATTGGTTTGGTGTCGTGCTCGACCTCGATCACGAACTCAATCTTCTGTCGGGTGGAAGCCTCGGTAAGTCTTTAGGAAAGACGTCTGAATACTTACACACCACTCTCACATCGTTGATGTTTGTCTCCTCCTTGTTCTTGTCCACCACGAATGCTGGGTACACGTGGCATCCCTTTCTCATCATATTTCTTACTCTAACGGTGGATATGATACAACTATTTGATTTGTCTCTGTCACCCACGAAGCGTAGGGTCAACCACGCAGTGCCCTCGAGTTCAAGAACATTTGTGTAGCAATCGACCCTAGCATGATGCTTCTCAAGCCAATATATTCTGAGGATTGCATCGAATTCAATCATACTTAGCGGTACAAATTCACACGCCAAGATTTGGACCTCCACTTCCACCTCACAATATGGATAGTAGTTATCTCTCTCGATGTCATCCCCCAAAGGTGTGGAAACTAATAACGTCTTAGTCATCGGTACTAACGTGTCATCAAATCCCCCGGCGAACTCCTCACTCACGAATGACCATTGCGCCCCGGTATCAATAAGGATTCTTATGTCTCTTCCATTAATCTTTAGTGTTCCAACATTCATAAGCAATGTAAGATACACCTCCCGCCTTATAGACTCGTCTCTTAGGTCATAATGTACACTAGCTAAGGTTTAAGTGAAGGTCGTCCGACACTCCACCAAAGACCCGCCCAGTCCTCGCCCTAAAAAACAACATTTTGACCAACCAGGTGAAAGCCGGCCGGTGTTTGTGAAAGCCGATCGGTTATCATGCCTTTGTCAAAAGTTAGGCACGTCTACGAAACCTGGCGGATTTTCGTTGCTATACCTTCTTCCCATTTAATTCATGCAAAAGTCGGCAGATTTCCACAAAAGCCGGCTGATTTTCAGCGACGTAGATTGTTTTCAAAAGTATTTCCAAACGCCGGTCGGTTTCTACGTAAGCCGGCCGGTTCTCAGCATCGTAGGATATTCTAAATAATTAATTACAAAAGCCGGTCAGTTTCTACGAAAGCCGGCTGGTTTTCTTCTACGTAGCGTTTTTCGAATTTGATCTTTACAAAATCCGTCCGGTTTCTGCGAAAGCCAGCCGGTTTGAAACGTCGTAGTACTTATTTATTAATTCAATCCCAAATGCCGGGCGGCTTTCGCCAAGAACGAAATTTTTCTTCCCTTTTTAGTCCCAACTAGCCAAGTTTGGCTTAAGGTTGGACAACCTATGATCCTTCTGAGATTCATACAAATTTTAATTCTCATCCTCTAAAAAGTTTATAAAGGATTACCAGCAACAGAGTCTGGGTTAGTATGAGCGTCAGCCTCCGTCATTACATATACCCTAGCTTGGGTCTTCCCTTGGTTCAGTGATGGTGCGTTGCTCGTACTTGCGCTGCCATGCCCCATGCTTACATGAGGTGCTCACGTCCGGTTCCTACTCATTGTAGTTCCATTACCTGGCCCCGGTGCCCTATTTCCACCAAGTTGAGGGCAATCCATCCTCATGTGCCATGTATCCCTGCATTGGTAGCATTTAGGAGGATCCCCACACCTACCCGTGTGATTTTTCTTGCAATTTCGCATCTAGGTGTTGCCGATAGGCATGGCAATGGGTCGCGGCGGGGCGGGGCGGGTGCTGCAAGACCCAGACCCGCCCCGTGACTTGACAGGGCGGGTCCGCCCCGCCCCCTGACCTGCACGGGTCCAAACTTGTTGACCCATGACCCGCCCCGCCGTAACCTAATTAGGTAGTATGTATTTTTATTTGTGAGAAGTTGTTACCAATTGAATCTACATAAAATTTATCTTTAGATTATTATTAAAAATTAATATTTTAAATAAAATTCACGATACGCTGGAAATTTCAAAAGTTAAGGAACAATCACTTAGACTTGAATAGTTAATCTATTTAATTATATTAATACTTGAATATATGTATTAAAATGCTATATATAAAGAAGACATTGATAATCATCATTCATCTCAATCTAATATACATATTCATATATTATAAGATCAAAGAATTTATGATTTACTGTTTACACACATATGTATGTTGAAGTATATTTGTAGTATAATTTAAGAAAAAATATGTACATACTTATATATTGAGCGGGTCGGGGCGGCACGGGTCAATACTAATACCCGGACCTGCCCCATTGTATAAGCGGGGCGAGGCGGACCCGCCCCATTTGCAAGACGGGGTGGACCAAACCCGCCCCAAATGTCTCGAGCCAGGGCAGGTCATTGCGGGCCTGTTTTTTTTACATCCCTAGTCGTCGAGGCTTGTGACCCCGAGTTTAGCCCACTCGTAACTCGATCCCCCCTAGATGGTGGTGTGGGTGCTCTAAAAGATCCTCCTCCTCCATGTGAAGAATATTCTGAATAACACACGTATAACCCACACGTGTGTTCTGATATAATTTTGTTATACGCAACACCTATCAGTCAGATGTCCCAATTATCGCTCTAATCCCCTTTTCATGTGTCACTTCATCATTAGTTTAGTACACTATTTCTGTTAGGCTGGCAGGACATGTGTCTCCACCATATTAGAATAATATCTTTTATACTTGGAAACCAAGTATTATATTTTATTATAAATATCACTTTCCAACCCGTGGAAAGAGATCCGAAAATCTCTGTGGAATCTTGCTGTTACGCTGCCAAATTCTATACTCAAGCTAACTTAGCATTTTCCGTTGATATCTCGTATTTCCTGGATTCCAGCTACCCCCCCCCCCCCCCAGGGTCGGTGATCCATCTTACGTATAAACCCGTGAAAACTATATTTATTGACAAACTGAGATGTTTTTAGTCTCAAATCAGACCAGTCATGCATAATTATAAAATACGTACACAATGACTAAACTTTTTTATGATCAATTCAGACTAGACCAGAGCGTTAAAACTATAATACCATAAGAGTGTAATACTCTATTAGGTGGTGCGATTACGAGGAATCAGAAAGGCGAGCTCCTCGGTGCTATTTCTTTTCCGTTACTGTCATCTTCGTGCTTGGTAGCGGAGATTCTGGCCATCATCCTAGCGATAATCTGGGCGGTTGATGCTGGATATGTGGATTTTGAAGTGGAGTCGGACTCCATGGTAGCTGTGCGGCAAATCAATGAGGGAGGAATAGGAAGATGGAAGGATGCGATTCAGGAAATTGCACTGCTCGCTAATAGGAAAGGGGCATGTTTTTCGCATGTTGTCTGTGAGGCAAATGGACCGGCCCATTATTTAGTTGGGCTATGTTGGACCAAGGTAAGGTTTTTTATAATGTAGATTAGGGGTGGGCATGAAAAACCGTAACCGATTAACCGTACTAAATAACCGAAAAATCGGTGTTTTCACGGTTAACCATACCGTGTTTTTAAAAATTCACGGTACGGTTAACCAACCGAAAGAAACAACGGTTCACGGGACGGTTACGGTTATGAAACTAAACTACCGCCGGTTAACCGATAATCTAAATATCACATCTAAACTAATGTCAGTCAAGTATTGCATGACTCACATGTGCATTAAACCGTTAATATTAGTGAATAGTGAGTAATGTTAGAGTCAACAAAAAGTGGTGGTTTATTGGAATCGGAGCTATATTATTGTTATTAATATTATTATTAGTTATTAATTAATTAACTTGTCATACGGCACAATCACAATTAAGGCATGTCTTGGAACACTATATATGCAACGCTTCGGTACATAATACGGAGTACTAGTTTTCCCTACAGGGAGTACGTTTTTTAGTTAAATCGGGTGTTTTTATCTAATTTTCAATTTTCATCCCACTTCCCTTCAAACATTTAAAAAATGAAATTAAAAAAAAAGTAGTAGAGAATATATGGGAAAACCTTCTACGGGAGCCTATATTGGATTCTTACGGGTCAGTGAAATCTCTTGGAGTAAATGTTCAATTATAAGAGGCGGCACATTTGTAGTTGTTCAAATGGTTTTTTGGTTAACCAATAATTGGTTAACCTATATTACGGTTATTTGTTACCCGGTTAACCGATGTTACGGTACGATTAATGATATTATAGAAATATTAACCGAAAACACGGTTAACCAAAAAATTGGTTAACCAAAATGTGGTTAACCAATCGTGCCCACCCCTAATGTAGATGATCTCCCTGATCTGGTTAGACACTTAGACATGCTTATTTTAGGGATCTGTTTGGTATCCCTGATTTCAGAATTATTCCTTAATGTATTTGGTTGTTTTTATTGTTGAGAGATTTTGGTCTAATCACCCTCTTAACTTTGTAACTTTTTCTCATTATTAATAAAATATGGTTAATATCTTCCGACATTTACCTTACTGATTTTGGTGGTTTGTCTTCCGGGGTAAAAAAAAAAATTCAGGTTTTTGCTCTCTATCACAGTCTACTCGCCACGTCAACCCTCTCCTTTGGGCCCCAACCTTTTCCTTCCCACCAAAGATCCTAAATTCGCGACCGATGCGACCCGTTTTCAAACGCCCATTTAGAAAACCCTATTCTGGAAGGGGTGAAAAATTTAATTAATAATACGGGCCCCTCATTAATAAAGCAGTGGACTGCGGACGTAATAATAAACAATAAATAATTACGGAGTAAAAAAAAAACTCCAGATTTCAGACCAACCGACGCTTACTGATCATACACGTGTACGAGTTCATGAATCTCAACCGTTCATGAAAGCTCTCTCGGTCAGCAATTAAGACAGCAAACCAGCCAACGACATCCGTTGGATCAGAGGTTCCAACGACATCGACGGCTCCGAATCTGCCCGTAAATTTCCCGGTCAGATCACATCGCCTTTAAGAGGCGATGCCTTCGCCCTTTCGTTCATCGCTCAATCCTGGAAACCCTTGCCTTTAATATACTGTGTATAAATATAGATATAGATTCTTCCAGTATTGCTTTTCGATTTCGGGTTGTCGGTTGAAAGATCTGTAGCCAACGACTTCCGTCGGGTCGGAAATTTTCTTGAATTCCGGCGAGAGCGTGTGGTACACGTCCTGCCGATACATGTATTCTGCGCCACCTGAAAACGATCAATTCAACCACCACATCCTTAAAATTCAGCGTCTTCGCTGCGATTCATGGCTTCTGCCGTCTTAGCTAGCAGAAATGAATCGAGTTGGGCACAATCCGGTGATGCCGGTGCTGGATTCATGGGGAAAACCCCTTATTCTCATCCCCATTTGAATGCTAATCCTAACCCTAGTTCTAACCCCAAGAAAAAGCAGAAACACTTCCATCAAAGCGCGAGCGGCCGAGCGTTTGACAATTCCCCGGTGGTTACGCAGACTGCTTCTGATGACGCGTATTCGTTCAATCAACGGCCAATCGAATCAAATGGCCCCAATTTTGGAGGCTATTTGACGTTTAATATCCCATCCTACTCGAAATTGGAGATCAACGAGCTTCGTAAACGTCTGGTGTCGGAGCTGGAGCAGATCCGGAACCTGAAGGATCGAATTGAGTCCGGTCACCTTAGCACCACTGTCAACCACAATCCGAGATCTAATGTGAAATCAAAGAAAATTTCCGGAAATAAGCGGTCGGTCCCTTCCGGATCTAACAAAGATCTTAAGAAGTTTTGCAATGGCTTTGATAACAACAGGAATGCAGGTGTTGGTGGAGCGATCGATGGAATTGATCTGGAAAATATGATGAAGGACTGCCGGCAGGTTCTGGCAAAGCTGATGAAGCATAAAAGTTCTTGGATTTTCAACACGCCTGTAGATGCGGCTGCCTTAGGTCTTCATGATTATCACCAGATTGTTAAGAACCCCATGGATTTGGGTACGGTGAAGTCAAACCTGGCCAAAGATTTCTATCGGAGTCCATCTCAATTTGCCGCTGACGTGAGACTGACATTCAATAACGCGCTGTTGTACAACCCTAAAACGGATCAAGTCCATGGATGGGCGGATCAGCTTCTTGCAAGATTTGAAGAACTCTTCAGGCCTATCCAAGAAAAAATCAATAGAATCGAGTGTGAGCGAAGGGATTACATTTCTGCTGCGGATGAATTGCAGGGGAGCTCATGGAACCAAGACATCCCAAGCCCAGAGAGAGGAGCCAAGAAGCACAAGGCTATGACTAGTCCTTTCCGCCAACTTTCCAAGAAACAAGAAAGAGTTTCGAACCAATCTAGTGCCTCTACCCCTTCCGCCCCACCACCACCCCCTCTCAACCCACCTCCACTTCAACAATCCCCCATTCGAACTCCATCTCCAGTGAGAGCCCCGCCTGTGATGCCAACAACCAGAGGAACCATGCCCAAACAACCAAAGCCAAAGGCTAAGGATCCGAACAAGAGGGAGATGCAGATGGAGGAGAAGCACAAACTCGGAATGGAATTGCAGAATTTGCCGGAGGAGAAAATGCCCCAACTAGTGCAGATTATAAGGAAGAGGAACGAGCATCTGGCTCAAGATGGTGATGAGATTGAGCTGGACATCGAGGCTTTAGATACAGAGACCCTCTGGGAGCTTGATCGCTTCGTGACTAATTGGAAGAAACTGGTTAGCAAAACCAAGAGACAGGCTTTATTGGGTAATTTGTCTGGACAGGCCCCTTCAATTAGTGGTGCCGTCACATCCAACATAGATGGCGATGGTGATGGGGTAAGCTCTATGCATTTGCCTTATCTAAATAAGGAAGTGAAACAGATTTTGAATGTGTCTTTAATTAATGTTTGTTAAATTTGCAGTGTGGATTAAGCGAGAAAATTGATTCACCAAGGAAGCCTAAAAAGGGGGAAGCTGGTGATGAGGATGTCGACATTGATGATGATGATGAGGATATGCCTGCCGCCAGCTTTCCTCTTATTGAGATTGAAAAGGATGAAGGGGGAGGTGGTGGTAGAGAGCCTGATAATGGCAGTAGTAGCTCTAGCAGTTCCGGTAGCTCAAGCAGTGATTCATCTTCTTCCAGTGGTAGTACACCTTTTGTATGAATGTGCTGTATGACATTTTTATCTAGGACATGATAATCAGAATATGTAGAGCCATTGATTCTCACTTGTTTGGCTTTAAAAGAAATAACCAAACATCCTTCTTTTAAAAAAATCAGCTGATTCAGCTCAAACCCACCAAACAGGCCCGGAAATATTTGTATTAATTAATAAACTTTTACAGGTTCTGATTCCGGGAGCTCTGGGAGTGACTCAGATGCAGATGATGCGCAATCTTGACTCTAGTTGGTATAGTGTTGTATGTTGAGAGAATCATCAAACTGCCTGAGCTGTGGCGCTCACCTTTTGTGGGACTGTTATCTAATGTGTAATCTAATCTTTGTAATGATGAGGTATATATATCAATGGTTATTTATTACTTTGACTGATGCAGTTGTATACTTGTATTGTTTAGAAATGATTAAATGAATGATTTGACATGCTCATAAAAACGTTTGCAGGTGTAGATTGTGCCCAGCTTGGGGGAAGGAAAGCAGATTCAAACACAAGTCTTATGCAATGGCATCCGTGAGACCGTGATTAGGGATCAGCTTCTTCTATTGTTTTATTTTTGTAGTCGGGCTTTTCTTAGTGATTAATAATAATGTTAGGTAATGAAATATATGTTAGATGGTTGAGATGTACTTTTCTCCCACCCTTCCTCGTGTACAGTTGTAATACATGTGTATTTTCTGCAATTCACATTGTTTTCTTATTGTTGCCCATCCGTTAAGGTTTTTTTATTGGGGGTTTACCTTCGCATAGCTTAAGGTTGACAACCATATGTGACATAAAAGCGGTATAATGGTTGACATATTTGTTGGGCTTGTTTGGTAATCTTGCTAAGTAGCAAAGTGCATAGTGGCTGCGTTTTTTTATCTAGTTCTTTTTTAAAGTGGTATAAGTACGATAGGAGTTTTTTGGGCTATGTCTTGCTGGAGAAGTGGGGAAATAAGATTCATTTCGTGAGACTCGAAGCCTTTAGAGGTTGACACAATCACACGCATTTTTCTTGTTCAAGGTTTCACACACATATGCACTCTGTTTTGGTTTTGGAGTTTTTATTTACGGAGTATTATTATTTGATGCCCATTTAAAGGAGTCAAGCTTTTAATTATCCAATCCCTCCTTGCGTGCAACCACAATATAACTTAGTGGGTAGGGTTAGGGTGCCACAAGAGAAAAGTGCAGGGTTCAACTCAAGCAAAGACATGAAGGGACTGAACTACTGAAGTATATAACACATTTCAAAAGTTGATACTTTGTTTAGGGACTGAAGTCATGAGAATTTTAGTTCTTTTTAGGGATAAGAATTTTAGTTTGTTGAGAAAGTTTTTGAAATAAGAAAAGCAAGTCATGACATTTCAAAATATGATTACTATGTTTTTCTTCTCAAAATTGAAATAATATGACAGAAATTTTGCCATGTTACAGTCATTACTGTCAATGTTACAGTACTAGGCATTAACATGACAGTATTTCCCATGATAGTATTATTTAATCATGACAATAAGGATAGGCATTAACATAAAAATCCTATTGGATCTTCAAAACTTATTTACTTTATTGGGTTTACATTACTTGTATACTCCTTTATACGCAAGGGACTCAATTAATTGGAACGAAACAAACGCAGCCGACCGGCAGAAGGAGATGACTTTCAGAGAAGGTGTCGTGGAATGGCACAAAACTCATGCCAACAAGGTTATGGAGTGATGAACACGAGTGAGTTGCATAGGAATTGTTTAATCTACAAATAAAATGAATATTTATAAGTAGGATACATGAATTTTACAAGCTATAAACATACTGTACTACTTAGGAGTTAGGACATAAGCATTAAGTAATATTTGTCCTTCAAAAGATTTGAACATTAAGTTGTCTTAAATTCAAGCTATAAACATACTGTACTACTTGGGAGTTAGGACATAAGCATTAAGTAATATTTGTCCTTCAAAAGATTTGAACATTAAGTTATCTTAAATTCAATCATCTCCAAGTCCAAAATATCATCAAATAATTGTTTTCAAATTGCTCTGCTTAGAAAGGCCCGGGAATGGAGTCAAGAGTGTGCATCATCCTGAATTGAGTAAAATGGCGGCCTGAATCGAGTACACTAAGCTTAAAATTTACAACTAACACGTGATAAAAAATTAAAACAAGAAACCAAAGCGAAACATCTATACAGAGAGCGGCAACAAGGAAAAGGAATGGAGTCCGAAGACGGAGCCAATTTACAAAAATGGTACCTTCTCTTTTACCCTTTCTAGCAAGTGGCAACTTCCAATCGTTTGGATGTCCGGAACGGTAACGATTCAGCAGCAATAAGTTTCCAATTGATTCATTTGCGCAATCCTGACCCACACAAATCAATAGCTTACGCTAAAGACGGACCACACATTTGATTCTCTAATAAAGACGAAGATAGCCGCCTCTTCCAGCTCTATCAGTGCAACCTGTACCTCTTCTAACAAAAGATCGACGGTTGATGGACCAACTTCTTCTCATAGCCTGTCTTCTTTTCCAAGCCATAAACTGACTATAAAGAGTCGGAAAAAGGAAGCAGAGAAGAACAAACAGCAACATAGCTACACAGAGAAACATGACATTCCTAAAACCATCTTTCAACTCTGGTTCTTTTTGGTTAGTCCAAGGAACTCCTCCCACGTTCATCCCGAACACTGTTAGATAAGTCATCGTGTGAGAAAATTAATGCCAAACATTTCAGTATGAAAATATGTTGAAGGAATGAAGAATATGTGTGGACTTTGGATGCACTGTGACCCCTAGAGAAGGAAAAGAAAATGCTAAGGGGAGTTATTTACTTATTTTCTCTTCGCTTTTACCTGGGAAAATGGAGTGTGATTATATTCTCTTTTTAAAATCCATTTAATTAGATCTCGTAGTCTTTATTATACATGGTGAAATAATGAATTATATTTTACTGTGCCATGATTACTCAAATATTTGCCGCATTTAGTGACCATGTAGTCATATTTTTTCTACTGAGATTTATTTGACTAATATCATAAGAAAAAACCCTTATATAAAATACTAGTAACTAAATAAGAAAGAGTTTGGACAAATATCTACAACAAATTTATTGAGTATTGAGTCTATCCTTTATTTTTCCTCAAATTTATATCCTTCTATTTTGTTCCTTCTTTCCTTTACCTAGTATTTTCCACGCTCCAAACGGATCCTAAGGGTCACCATTGATCACCCCACATATGTTACACTCCCTACCAAATTACCAATTTATTCCTTCATGAATGAGTAACATTGCAGATAACTATTGTTAAGGATATGATAATGGGGTTCAATCCATATATTTGATAACCTATGGTGTCCCTAAACACTACCATCTCAGTATACCCGAAGGTTAACAAAAAAGATATATGAAGAGGATCTTACCTCCAGTTATTACGGATAGAGGAAGAAATATGATGGATAAAAAAGAGAGGTAGTAAAGTTTGCGGTTTATTTGCTCAGACTGCCAGCTGTCAAGACCAGCTTGAACAACTGTGACACGGTTAGCTATAAACCCAACATTCTCCTTCAATCTTCTCAGTCGACTAATTAACTCTTCTAGGGAGACAATGTCTTCACTGGAAAACCAATCTTTTGAAGAACACTTCTCCTTGACTCGTGGATATACTTGCTCTCCATATGAAATCACCTGCAAACCCGCTTTTTGAATCACTTTCTATCAAGAACTTTCTGGCACAAAATATGAAAACTCGTCCTTTTCAGGATTAGCTCTCAAATGGCTATTCTCCCCTGAAACTAGATGGCTACATCTACCTTATCGTATGTTTGATTCCTGGAAAATGCTAGGGAGATAATAAAAATGCTATAGAACATAATTTTCTTACGTTTGGGTTCACCTCAAAAAATAAATGAACTGATGGTTTTTTTACAGAAAAAATGCATACATTCAGGTTTCTTAGTATTGATATAATAGACAAAAGTTAATCCCATACATATTAGCATATATCTTGTTGAGTTTAAGTATGTATTTTCTTTCTTTTTGGGTTTTCCTGAGTGCTCAGACAGTGAAGACTTGGAAACCAGGATAAAAGAAAATATTTCCAACTTAGCGATTCAAATGACGGCAAAGACTTGGGCACACATACGCATCTTGATTGAAATAAAGTGTGGATGCACACAAATTACCAAATGTGTTACAAAAACAAGATACAACAACATCCCAGCCTTATTCCCAAAAAATTTTGGGGTCGGCTAACATGAATCAGTCCATGATACATAGTATAAACTAAGCCTTCCAAAACCATTTATCCAAAACTAGAACTTTACATGCTAAAAACGATCTCCGATTCTCATATACTAAAAAATCAAAAGTGCTTTTATGCAAGTGAAATTTCCCAAGATAAGAGTAACATGTTTTCAGTATCACGAAAATTCTTTAACGTTAATTTTTTTAGGACTAAAATTTGTAAATTGATCATACTACTCTGGACTCGGTGACTGTATAAAAGTTTTCATTTTCTAGTGTTCGGATGCATGGTCAAAGGTATGTACACTCACCCTGTGTAATATGCGTAATTGTTGAGTCAGGGTATAGTATTTATACTTAATAAATCACAAAATTACTGCTGAGCTATACCTTGACTTTATACTTACAAATGGTAAATTTCTCCAAAAAAATAACTTTACTTTAGGAGCCATACATCACTACAAAAGAATATTAAGTAGTATATAACTACAAGAGTCCTTTTATTTAAAGAATTTGACGACTTATTACTCCTATAAGGCAATTTCACATTGAACATTCTATATTAAAGGAAATAAAGAATGAACATTATATATAGTTTATGATGAGTTGATGACATAGGCAGAAGTAAGAAATACCAGTAGAAGGCGTTGCAAGTCAAGATGCATCTTTGGAAATCTTCTATCATCTAGCATTAGTTTCTTCAATGCAAATTCACCTGACAAGAAACCAGGCAAAGAACTTCATGTTAGAACTTTTAAAATTTGGAAAATAAAAACACTTCATCTGTCGCTTAAAAAAACACTTTATCCGCGGCGATTATAAGTATCTGGAGTACCTTATGTTAGAACATTTAAAGTTTAAACAAAAAAACACAGCTCAAACATATATACAGACCTCTGTCCAATTCCAATTCCACAGAGTCCAACTCAATCTCCAGATTAGTCACAACATCTTGAAGCTGATCAACATGAGTGTCTATAACGTGAACAACAAGATTTGACACAGATTTGGGGACAGGATTATCTGCTTCCTCAGAGTGGTTCATCGTCAATAGAAAATCAAGAACATGTTCCCTAATTACAATCCCACCCCGCTCCTTCTCTTGCAAATGACCATGACCGGAATTTTCCACAACTGGAACCTCTGAGAGAAGGGACTCGTTTGTCCGCGAGAATTCCAATCTCGGAACACGTCCTAATGAAACCGTAATAACCGAATGCTCAGTAATTCTTGCTGCAATTCTGAAAGTGAACTTACTCGATGCGGGTCCGGGTGAATTCACCCTGAAGACAAGCGCACCATCAACATTCCCACAGAAAGGTCCATTGCTAACAAGTGATAGAATGTCTTGGAGTTTTAGAGGGGGGCAGAGGACGTCAATAAGGCATTGCGCAGATTGTGAAAGTTTCTGGTTGTACTTGGGAAGCTCCACGTGGTACCAACAAAACTCTCTGCCATTACTACCCTCTGGTGAGATTTCCCAATCTTTATCATAATAATTCCCTTCTCCATCAAAAACATATGATTTTAGTTTTACATCTCCAGAATTACGAAAGCGCAATCCTAGGTTTTGACTAACACGATGGTTATGGGATAGTG